CTCGCAATTCTCTTGACGTACACGAAATCTATATGAATCTATCCTGGAGAATAATTCGTTCAGGTAGGTGTAATGATCTTCAGTCGTGGAGCTAACGATTATTATGTCGTCCAAATAAGCCATGGCACACTGTAATCCGGATAGCATAGCGTCCACCCCTTGTTGAACTATCGATGAGTATTAATAGTGAGCAGTTCTTTTGAGCGCTCCTCGACCACTACTTGTAAGTATGTATCAGAAAGATCAATTTAAGAAAAGATCTTTCCTCCATTAAGTCTTATGAATAAATCCTCAGGAACAGGTAAGGGACATTGATGAGTTTCCAGTGGGTTATTGAATCCTGTAAAAAAGTCTTCACCAATACGCAAACTGTTATTAGCCTTTGTGATGACTATAATAGGAGCGGCCCAGGCTGAGTAGGTCACAGAACTGATGACCCCCATGGACTCCAGTTTACTAAGTTCGGCATCCACGGCTTCAACAGAAGTGTATGGTACTGGTCTTTTGGGACAAAATACTGGACGTACACCGGTACGTGGATCCAACACAGCTCTTAGCTTAGAACAAATTCCAAGACCCTCTGCAAAAACATTGGGGTACTTAGAAACAAAATGTGATAAAGCTTCTGCACTAGCTGTCAACGTTACAGGTGCAACTGAACACTGTAATCTGTGGGACGCAGTAACAAATTATCTGGGTTATCACAAATACTGTTCAAAGGTATGTTCCATAAATTAAGTTTGTCTATCCAATCAATGTCTAAAAAGTTCAAATGTCCATAGCGTGTAGCTTAACAAACACCATTAGCATGCAAATTGCGAAGTGCAAACTCACACTTAAACTGTTCAAGAAAGGGTAATTCCGAGACACACACCCCACCTTGTTCTGGATCCCAATACATGTGTCCTCGTGATAATGGATTGGAACCAGATAAACTGAATAGCTAAAATAGTATGCATTTCAGCCGTGGTTATACTGAATGAGTGTACGCTTTCTCATCTGTCGTACTTAGTTTTTTGCCTTATCAAGTGCTCAATAACAGAGTAATCAAAGAAGAGCTGAGGTGACTTTTGCAGTGGAAAATCCTCATTTAAGAAATCGGGTACACATTTAGTCTATTGTCTCTGATTCTCTGATCCTAGAGCAAAGTATTCTTTCATTCATAGTCTAGGGATAGTATACATTTGACTTTTTACTGGAGAAAAAGTATAGTGGCATAAACTCCCCCTTATAAACCTTTGTCGCTGCTTTCTGGTTCTTTTTCTAATGGTTTACCTTCCATGTTGACTATAAATACCGATCCATGAGGAAATGATAAGCTCGACTCAGCCCCATTGATTAACTGCCGCACTGACAGTTCATCAAGACATCCTCATCCTAACTCATTCCATTGACATCATCTTCATTAGACTTTTGTCCACCGCCCGCAAGGGTAATATAAGTGCTGGTTTTCAAGACACAATAAGCTTCTTCTATCATAGAGAGAAGATCATGTACAGGAGATAATTTGGGATTCCTTAAAAAGAAGTATATTAAACTAACTGAAAGATGGTTCATTTGCAATTTAATAAAGACAATGATATTAAAAATGAAAATGCATGTTATTACAATGCAAAGTGTTCACAGTGCAACAATATACGCTTAATATATCGCAATATTTATAAAATACGGATATATTTGTAATCTTATTGCCAATAATTTAGTTATCCCACTCTGCATGTCCCGGTATCATTTTTTGATGGCACCCTTTACAAATCACAGATGGTTGCAACTCAGGGGTGCAATAAGTACGATAAATTTTGATGAGTTATATGTGAAAATGTGCTCTAGACATATAACAACACAAATATGGCAAAATTTTGTACTTTTCAATGAATAGTAACCAAAAGTGCACCAAAACTTTGAAATTTTCCATGATATCCCCTTTTTGTTAGCCTACAAGTACAGAAAATCTACTTTTCAAAAATAAACAGCCTCGTCAAACCATTTTATAATAACGTGGAACACTAGGTTCTCGAATGTTGCAAACAATGCAATTATACATAATAGAATAAATCAACCCAGGCCCACAAAAGGAGGAGGGGTAATCCTGTATTACCGAAACGACTTACAGTGCGAAGCCGTGGAGGGTTCAGACTCGCAGTTCCCCGACTCTCTTTGGTGCCGGTTACAGTCAAAAAGCAGGGACGCTTGCTTTATTGTCTTGGTGTACGGTGCCCCTAACTCAACACCCAAAACAGACTACCACCTAGCAGCTGCTTTAAGATGCAGTTTACAACAAAATACACTCACATTCTTATCGTGGGTGATTTCAACGTACATTGTTTAGAAACTTCCGCCACAATGGGAGAACAATTCAAAGCCGAGCTATAAGATATAGTAACTACTGTTCCTCTTTACAGTCACATCACTTTGCCCACCCGGTTCAGAACAAGTAACGGGCCATCTGTGCTGGATCTTGTGCTTACCAACGAGGAGCATATGATTGATGTGTTGGTTTTAGACTGCCCGTTGGGTCGCAGTGATCACGCAGTCATCAGTTTCAACTTCGTCTGCTATGCAGAATATCTGAATGAGAACGATGCGACTGTGCGAAATATCACAAGCTCCGATCGATTAGCCCAGCTGGTCAGCGCCACAACTTGATCGTTCCTCGAAGAAGAACCTCCGGAAGTCGCCTGGCTCGAGTTCGTCAACAAATTCAGTCAGCTGATTGCACAGGCTTCAGAGATAAAAGCTTGCTATAAGCGTAAATAAGTTTATTACGTTAGGAGCTGAAGTCGAAAATGGATGACAGTACGCAACGCAGCATGGCGAGTGTACAGAGAAGCTCCAGCACAAGAAACTTGGGACAACTACGTAGCCCAACGTAACCACTGCACTCAACTGTTAAGAGAAGACAAAGCCGCCTATCAGCAGAACATCGCAAAAACCTTCAGTGCTAACCACAAACTGCTGTACAAGCACGTTAATAGCCTAAGAAATGTGAAGCAAGGATTTCCTCCACTCAGGACGGTGATTGGCACAACGGGAACGGCTGTGGAAGCAGCAAACGCGCTGCAGATGCAATACGCCCCCACGTTTCAAAGGGTCTTTCCACCAAGCGATCTACCAAGCTTTGTCGTCTCCTCGTCATGACTAACACATACCACTTCTACCGCGGAGGCTGCATTGCAAAACCTGAAGTATCTACGCAAACACAGCTCGCCGGGTGTCGACACCATTCGTCCAGAGGCACTGGAAGCAGCAGCATACCAACGGGCAGGAACTTTAGCTCAGTTTTTCCAGCGTTGCTTAGACCATAATCAAGCTTTTGCCATGTGAAAACTTGGAATAATAACCCCGATTCACAAAGGTGGAAGCAGAACTGATCCCTCCAACTACCGCCCAGTATCCGTTCTTCCGATACTCTCCAAGGTCATGGAATCCATAGTTGCCGATGCACTGGTGTGTTATCTGGAAAACTGCAACATCATCACTCCTGAGCAGCACGGTTTCCGTCGACAGCGGTCATGTACAACGAATTGACTACTTGCACGAAGTAGTTGGGCCGAGGCAGCTGACGCTGGAGAAGGTGTTGCTGTGATCTACCTGGATTTTTCCAAAGCTTTCAATCGTCTAGACCATCGGATACTAGTATCCAAGCTGCAGCATTACGGGATCGGCGACCTTCTTCTAAGCTGGATTGCCAACTTTCTACTTCAACGGCAATTAGTGGTCAGAGTTCGGAGCTCTTTATCGAACCCCATACAAATTGAGTGTGGTGTGCCGCACGGCTCAGTTCTAGGTCCACGTTTGTTTTTGGTGTTTATTAATGATCTTGCACAGGGAATCGCTTCAAACTTCCTAATGTTTGCTGAAAATATCAAGATCTGGCGCAGGATCCAGGCGAACGCCAACCGACATGTGCTTCAGAGTGACCTAGATAAGGTGTATCAATGGTCGACCCAAAACTTATTGCATTTCAACGTCAGTAAATGCAAGGTGCTTTCCATCCGACATCAAAGCAGCTACTCATACCGACTCGGAACGAATGTACTGCAACAATCAACTGTCGAACGTGACTTGAGTGTCCTGGTTCAAGATGACTTGGGTTGCTCCAGCCAATCCGAAAAGGCCTCGAAGACTGGGAACCAACACGTCGGGCTGTTGCGACGGGCGTTTGCACAAATAAACAGCTCCATATTTCGACAAATGCTCAGTGCGTATGTTCGCCCCCATGTCGAATACGCAATTCAAGCCTGGCATCCATGGCTGAAACACGACCTTAATGCACTGGAACAGCCACAACACCGGGCATCTAAGAACGTAATTGGAATGCGCAATCTTTCCTACCAGGAGAGGCTGCGACGACTGGGATTGTTCAGTGGAAGCTATCGCAGACTACGAGGCGACCTGATTATGGCATACTTAATTCTGAGAGACCCACATCATGTGTGCCGCCCTTTACTGCAACTCAGCAGCAATACAAACCTGAGGGGCCACTCATTAAAACTCGCAGAACAATACAGTCGTCTGGAGTGCCGCAGAAATTTCTTTTCCATTCGTGTCTGTCACCCGTGGAATGCTCTCCCAGAATCGGTCGTCTCTGCACCGACAATAACAGTATTTAAAAGACGGTTGGACGATGCACTCATCCACTTACACTTTGTTACTTAACACTACGTCTCCATCCTACACCTGGAGTTTACCATGGAATTATATGTTGTTAACTGTGGATGCTGTGAATCTAAGAGGATCGCAGGACTACAGCGGAGCAAAGGATAAGTCTTCATTTTCATATGTAAATTCTTAACTATTTTACTATCCTTGTCATCATTATTGTTATGTTGATATCCCACCAACTATCTAACGGGACTTGTAAAGCAACGCTTCTTAACCCGTATAAATTCATTGTTCATCGTTCATTGAACCCTTACATAACATTTTAGGTAGGGTTATTTATAATGGATGCTAGCAGAAAATGGGTTACTCACACCTTCTGTTTCGCTTTATTTCAGTTCCGGATGCAGATAAGGCGCCCACTTCTCGATTAGCAGAAACAAACAAGTTGCACCCAGAAAACCTCGAACGTCTCTCAGTCTACGTAGAATCGGAGCCACGCACTGGCAGCGCTGGACTATCAAGCACCTCCACATCAAACCTTTGTGGATTTGTGACCAGACTGAATGATGCGATCTTTAATCCAAGGCTGCATATACCTTGTAGGCAGCCACTGAGCGGGCGATACGTCTATGTAGAAGCCAGAGGAATGCGTGGTCTCTGGTCGCAAGAGTTTTCAGCTCTACTGTGTGAAGTGATGGTATATTGATCGAGACTAAAATTGCTACCTCAAAAAGAACCATGTACTCAATAACAAACGTAACTTTTGCATTTCGGCTTGCTGTTTCTCCAACGCACATACGTATCACTCTTTCAAGCCGGGTTCTTTTCATGAGTTTAATCCCATTTTACAGTCTAGCTGGTGTGGTGAAGTTTGTATATACACGGAAATGCTGTCTAAGATGCACTTTAACTGAGGCAAGCGGTTCAGTTAGGAGCCCGCTAATTTGTCCACATGTGGCAGAAATCAACCCGGATGCATAAGAACACTGCCGCACAATTAGATCTGCCACTCATGTGCACTATGGAAAGACGAACATATGCGTAACTTACACTGTCATACTAATGCACACTGCACTGTCACGGTTATGAAGCAACTCTTTACATACCCCACCTTTTGTGTTCTCTTTTCCTGTTTATATTCCTTTCTTCAAAACATGCAATTCTGCTGTAGCGCTATGTTCCTTTCATGAGAGTAAAATATAGTTGTCTCATTGGTATAGCTGGACAAGTAGATTTTACACTTGCATGCAGCATAATCACCTGTTGAAAGCCCTTTTATTCAGACCATTCGAACGGTTGTAACTATAACAGCACAATTATCGTTGGGTATTACAATTTGCTATGCTAACACATTAAATTTGGCAAGTACCGTTGATTGAAGATTACTTACCATTAATTAGCTGATCTTTCAAATATGGAACCACATAATGGTCGGCCTGCGAGGCAAACTGGGCTTTCAAGCCGACCTTAATGAAAGAGCAGGCTGTGAAGTAGTCACAATTCAACTGACGAATTACTTACTTGAGGAAAATGTACATCTTTTCAACTGCAACTACCCACCCTATTTATTAAACAAAAAAATTTAGAAATCTTTCCGTCGACGGTGTTGCAAACATGGTAGCAGATGTCTTGAGCAACTAGAATCGATGGAATAAACGATTGCATCCTATGCCTTTGCTTCTTTTGGTTTTGCGTAGCAGCCGCGGATCTAACTGTGTAGTTCAGCAAAATCCGGGGGGACGGGTGCTGTTTTAACGAAGTGCTTTAGTTGGGTTTGGAATATCGAGTAGTTGTTGTGAATATGGATTGCTCAAATGGTGATGCTTGGATCAGTTTGGGTTACCGACCGTGATGACTATTGAATGAAGGAGAAGCAACGATCTTCATCGGGAAATCTTAGTCCACTCCGAGTGATGAGCTAGGGGACCAGTATGACTGAACTGCTTTCAGTATCTTAGCTGCAAATGGGGCTTAAACAAACCATTTAGTGTCGCGAAATTTGCGACTTACACTTTCACCAGGGTACTATTAATAAGTTAGAATTCCCCACATTACTGTAGACCGCGCCATGTTATAAAACGGTAAGTTCCCATATAATCAGGTTTAGCTAACAACTAATTTACCGCTTAATTATTTAGTTAAAGCGCCTTGATCCAAGAAAGCTCCCTCGAAAAGAATTAATCAGTGTTGTCCTTTCCATTCGAACAATTACTGTTTACCATTATTTCGTAAATGGTTTGTTGCACGCAATTTTTGATTTGCATGTCAACGTGACCTCCACAGGACGCATGCGCCTGCAGAGGGACTATAAGTAACTTATGCTGCACCGCGCAAAGTTCCATGCACGCACCCCTAAACCATCTCCCCAAGCAACGACCAACTGTCTCCTGGAGACGGTAGAATCGAGGTGGTGATTGTTGACATGTAGGAACCTTGTTCGCATTCACATCAAGCGCAGCCACTCCGGAGTTATCAATCAGCAGTCAACAATTGAAATGCAAGTAACTCAGCTCGGAGGCAGGTACAAGTACAGAGGAATTACACCGATGACCTAGCAGACGTACTACATCTACCGCATCACTAAAATGAGTCAGTAACTCGAATGAAATCGGTAGCTGCGTGCTCACCTAACCATTTGCTGTTGATGCTTACCCTCTCAGGCGACCTTGAACCAACGTGCGTGCTAATCAGGCATATATGCACTCGTGCTTTTTTCGCTGTTCCCCCGCCACATTTTGTCACACAACACTAGATCGATACACGTGCGTGTTGCTTTTACAAACGCTAACTCGTCATACCATTTCCTCGAGTACACTACATTTACTACTACATTTACTCCTACATTTACTACTACATTTAACCTGCTTTGTATATTCGAGCCTGTGTTTCACTAATATCCAAGCTCCAAATTTTGTGTAACCTCAGCCCTCGGAGACATGCTTTGGTCTCACTCGATAGAGCATTTCACCGTCTGTCGGGCAAATTCTCACTCGTTCAGGTTCCACATTGTTTAAAGCATCTACAAGTCTCTCGGGATGTTCACCTTTGTGAGCTTTGTAGGCCCAACCACGAAAATACTGTTAAGTCCTCGTGTGATCTGCTTCACGGGTACACTGATGCATTCGACCGCACGCCAGACGCGACATTTGCGATCACGCAAGTGCGAGATAAACGCTGTGACCTTGGCATCAAGGTTAGAAATAAGCGACTACCTACTAGCCATCAAGAGCGAGTCATTCTAATGGTTCGTAACATTCGCTCAACAAATTGAGGCTTGGTGTGCCTCAAGTTAAAGACATGTGTGGACCAGGTACCAAACTTGTTAAAGCGGGTATTCCGTACCGCAAATGTTGCAGGATTTTCCATGCGAAATGTGTCCGAGTGAAAGCTAGCCAGGCCAAGTTATTAAACAAACCAGATGCTTTATGTTTCTGTGTGGAATGCACGTCTGTCCCACTGATAAAAAGCGTGCTCATATTATCTCAGATGTGCGACCAGCTATTAGCCAAGTTTGATGAAATGATGACCACCAAAATCGCCATAGTTGGGGTGAGCATAGAAGACTGTGCAACTCAGCCCCCTCAGTAAGTGCTGGGGCTGGTAATACCGTAAAGTAAAGGATACCAATCGCCCAGAAATCAGTTTCTGACCCAATGCCACAGTCAGCACACATTCGACTCTTACGTGTTCAACCAATAATCGCTCACTATGACCGTGAACCTGATTGTCCCTACACACACACGTAGATAAGCACGCACACACGCACTCAAGGACACATCCTAACATTTCATGCTCACATGTAAACCGTTAAGTGTTCAGTACACTGTGCGCCAGACTGACGCGTCTTCTTGCTTATTCGCTACGAATTGAAATACGTACTTGCGGTTAGAGTCCAGTTGTGATATCTGGCGACGAGGTCAACATGTCCATGACAAATACTTCACCGGTCTTCTGGTCGTGCTCTACCGACAAACCTTCCCTGGACTCGTGGTATAGATGGCGGAAAACCTTTACGGATTACTTGGAATTGCTTCCAATCTTGCATCCAGCAGTATCTCTTACTGAGAAAAACAAAGTGAAGCTCTTGAGACAGTTTCTTGGAGATGAGGATCAAAGGTATTTCGATGCACTTCGTATTGATCAAATCTCTTCTACGATAACCGGCGCTTTGGAAACCTTCAGTGCTCTTTGGGGTGCTCGTCAGAATGTTTTTACGGCTAGATACTACTTCTCGAAACTCTGCCAGAAACCAGATGAGAGTGTGAACGAGTTCATCGCTCGTGTACTACAAGCAGCACCTGATTGTAAATACAATGAAGTCGATCCAACGAGAGTTGAAGAGACCATGTTACTCCAATGTTTGATAGCCGGAATCTCAGACCAGAGCACGCGGGAGAAGCTCCTTTCACAAGATAATTGTTCACTAACCTGGGTGACGGCCTGCTCGATTGCCCGGCAGAGGGAACACCTTACACAACAACTCGCAACATTTACGCTGAAGGACTCGTCAGATGAGCTGCGATTGATTAACACTACATCAAAACCGAAGCCACCCACTGGCGTCAATTTGTTTGTGTGCTATCGTTGTGGTGAGCAGCACAGTTGTCCATCCAACTGCCGGCATCAGAAGACAGTATGTCGAAGCTGCGGGAAGGTGAGCCACCTGGCGCGAGTGTGTAGGTCGGTCAAGCGACGTTCAGGTGGGGCTTATCGAGGAGCAAACCCCATCAAAACTGTGGACGAGTCTGATGGTAGCGACCCTGAATTACATTCCATTTGGCTTAATTCCGTTTCTAGCATGCAGCCGACGCCATACACTCTAGAGCTTTACATTGAAGGACAAAAGGTACAGATGGAAATCCATACAAGAGCATCCGTGACGATAATCCGGGAAAACGCTGTAAAAACGCTCCCGAACTTATCCGCTTGCAATTCTGTTCTTCGCACCTACACCGGTGAACCTATACGTGTCCTTGGTAAATGCTTCGTGAAGGCACAGTATAGCGACAAAATACGCACACTTCCTGTATATGTGATCCCCGGGGATCGTCCAAATCTGCTTGGAAGAGACTGGATACGTGCTTTCCCGGATACAATGAATGTGGTAAAAATAGTCAACGTGATCTCCGGACTTGAAACATTACTTAAACAACATTCAGCTGTTTTTTCCGAGGAGCTTGGGAAGTTGAAAGAATTTCAGGCTGCGATAAAACTAAAGGAAGGCGCTCGACCAAAATTCATTAAGGCGCGCACACTACCATAGGCTATGAGGCCTAAAGTTGAAGAGGAACTAAACCGCCTACAGACTCAAGGTATTATTACTCCTGTACACTTTTCTGACTGGGGAACTCCAATTGTGCCAGTAACCAAACCGGACGGCTCCGTACAGATTTGTGGTGACTACAAGATAACCATAAATCAAGCATCCATGCTGGTCAGGTGCCCATTGCCACGTATTGATGACTTGTATGCAACACTAGCTGGCGGTGAAAAGTTTACCAAACTCGATCTGAGTCATGCATACTCGCAGATAGAGCTCGATGAACCTTCGAGGAAACTTACTACCATCACCACGCACATGGGACTATTTCAATATACTAGTTTACCTTTTGGCATTAATTCCGCCCCCGGAATATTTCAGAGAATTATTGACGACCTAGCGAAGGACATTCCTTTTGCGTGGGCTTATCTGGATGATATTCTTATCTCTGGACGCTCGGATACAGAGCATCTTCGAACACTCGCGGTCGTGCTCGAGCGTTTGGAGCGAAGTGGATTCAGATTGAAAAGGTCTAAATGTGAGTTCCTTTCACCTTCCGTTTGTTACCTTGGATACCGGCTTGATAAATACGGTTTAAATGTTTTAAATGACAAGGTTAAACCTATTTTAGAAAGCCCAGAGCCAAAGAGTTGTGATGAACTCCGTTCGTTCTTAGGAATGCTATCTCACTATCGCCGTTTCCTGCCTAATGCATCGACGGTTCTATCGCCATTAAATGAGCTGTTACACAAAAACGCATCGTGGTGTTGGGGTTCCCGTCAAAAAATGCCTTCAATAAAGCAAAACAAGCTCTTGCTTCGCCACCAACGTTAGTCCATTATGACTCTAACAAGCCACTCATACTTCAGTGCGACGCGTCCCCTTGGGGGGTCGGGGCTGTCCTGTGCCACCGCATGGACGATGGTTCTTTACGTCCCATAGCATATGCATCGCACAC